AGAATAGATCCGTGTGATCGTTAAACATGTGTAACATCACAGTTAATATCATATTAATATCAGTTATCAGCGCTGATGGAAGGTCTCCTAGTTTAGATCAACAGAGTGCTTTTGTAAGCGGTGCTTCCCAAACCAGGATGATGCGTACTGGCGTCATTTGCGTCTATGACGTTTCCAGGAGATGAACAGCTGAGTTCAATTTGTAATGAGTCCAAGCCTTTAAAAGTGATTGTAGTTTCTTGGTCAGGAGGGGTTTTTTCTTGGTTTTGATTGCAGGTGCTGCTGAGCCGCTGGCCAAGGCTATCGGGCCGGGACGTGGGCATGATGTTGTGCGCGAGCGAATGACTGGGAGGGATAATTGGTAGTGCTGGGGTTTCCCTGGACTAAAGTTTCGGTGGCCGCTGTTGACTTTCCAATCGCTGTATCCCACGTCCGGTAGCGGGTAAGCGGGCCAGCAGCACAGTTATACTGTTGCGGGGTCATTGTGTGTGCATTGCATTTTGTTCGCCGGGAGTTTGAGTGAGTTTGATTGCTCCCGGCGCTTGTACTCTGTCTGTGTGTGTGTGTGTGTGTGTGTGTGTGTGTGTGTGCGTGCGTGTGGGTGTGTGTGTGTGTTACGGGGATGAGCGCAGGCCATAGATATATACACTAGATATCGCATAGGGACCCTGAGCATGCATCAATAGCGCCGCCATATTGGTACAGTGCTCCCAGGACAAATGTCATTCAACCGCACTAGACAAGACCGTGTTATTACGTGAAGATGCGGGACTTTAGCGCTGTCTACTGGTGTAGTAACGAGCAAACAAAGAAAACAAAGCACAAAGGCAGAACATCTCATAGGTAAGAGTCAGTTTTTCAAGTTTTTGTATGTTCTGAACTTTTGTGCTAATCAGGTAACGTTATTGATGATAACAGTCACTTACTGCATTCACCATACGGCAAAGTAGCTCCAACTCGCACTAAACACTTATGCTATGCTTCGCTTTCGCTTATGCTAGTTTTGTTGAATAAAATCAGCAAACAATGCAGAAGAAATATGACAACGAGATGCTGCGCTGCCAGAAACTTATTGTCGGCTAGTGAAGGAGTCGTTCGGGGAATTCATTCACAAACGAATCGCTCCCTCCGTCAGTATGAGCAGTGAAAGCAGGAGAGGAGCTGTGTTTCAGGACATGATTAGATCAGATTTAACAGGGAGGGTGAATACTACATTTCTGTACACACAAACACAAGCTTTTTGTCAGGAATGCCCGTGCGGTCACTGATCCATCAATGTAGAAAAGTGATGTAAAATTATAATTTTCATAATTAGAAAAAAAAATTGCATACTAACATCTAGGAAAACTCCCGATCACAGAAATATGTGTATATGTGTATATCTCTGGCTTTGGATGGCCACAGTCCTCCACTGTACATTGGTCGCATTCATTTTAAAGGAGCGCTACCCTGTAGCAAGATGGCGGCGCTATTGACACATTCCGTCCAATAGACAACAATAGGCCAGGCGACATCTAATGTATATATCTATGAGCGCAGGCTAGCATCACGCTCTGTACAGGATATGTTAAATGACGACGGCTTGATATTTAGCTGGAGTGGTATTGATGGTAGCTTATGATTTGATTGCTGTGTGGAGTCTATTTATGGGTGTTATTTATACCTTTATATTTATGAGATTTACTGTGTGGTGTATTACAACTCTGGGTTGATGTGAAATGATGATGTGTTGCACAATTACGGTTGATACCCCTTGTTAAATGCCTTGTGGTGGTCATTTTAATTGTCTTACCTAATCATTTTTATGCAGTCCGCTAACAATCTTTACATCATGAACTTTGTGTCCTTTTGATTCTCTACCTGCTGCTCCCCTTGTGTGGAATTTTAATATTTGAGATTATTGTATAAAATAAAGTGAAACTAGTATTTAAATTAATTGAGTGTTTGACTTTTACTTGATTATTGTGGCCCAAAATAAATACTGTATTTTGTCCAGCAAAGAACTTGTGTTGTGTGTGTGAATACTTTATGCCCTTTTTGGGAGGGTTACACTTTACAGATCAGCCTCTCTGATGAACAACACTGGACAACACTCCCCTACAGCTGGTGTGTGCTGAAGCACTGGCGCTGTGGCTGCCTGAGTATCATCAGCTGGAGATGCTCTCGCGGTACTTTGATGACAGCGCCATAGATATATACAGTAGATGTCGCCTACCCTGTTGTTGTCTATTGGAAGGAATGTGTCAATAGAGCCGCCATTTTGCTACAGGGTAGCGCTCCTTTAAAATGAATGCGGGACCAAGGTACAGTGGAGGACTGTGGCCATCCAAAGCCAGAGATATACACATACACACATATATCTGTGATCAAGAGTTTTCCTGGATGTTAGTATGCAATTTTCTTTTTATATTACGAAAATTATAATTTTACATCACTTTTCTACATTGATGGATCAGTGACCGCACGAGAATTCCTGACAAAAAGCTTGTGTTTGTGTGTACAGAAATGTAGTATTCACCCTCCCTGTTAAATCTGATCTAATCATGTCCTGAAACACAGCTCCTCTCCTGCTTTCACTTCTCATACTGACGGAGGAGCGATTCGTTTGTGAATGAATCTCCGTTATGAACGACTCTTTCACTAACGTTAGCCGACAATAATACCAGTTTCTGGCAGCGCAGCATCTCGTTGTCATATTTCTTTTGCATTGTTTGCTGATTTTATTCAACAAAACTAGCATAAGCCGAGTGTTTTGTGGGAGTTGGAGCTGCTTTGTCTTATGGTGAAGGCAGTAAGTGACTATCATCAATAGCGTTACCTGATTAGCACAAAAGTTCACCCGTAGACAGCGCTAACGTCCCGCATCTTCACGTAATAACACTAGGCTCGTTTGACTTGGCCAAAATCTGCGCAGAATCGATCACCGGTGATCACCGCAAGATGCGTGCCGGTTAGAAATGTGTCCGCCTTGCCTTCGCCTCGCTCTGATGTCACGCTGACGTGCGCCAAAAAACTCTCGCGATCGCGAGGCGGGTACCTCGGATAGAGCAGTCGGCCTCAGTTGCTCTCAAAAGACTGCGCTACCAAAAGCATGATGGGAAACGACTGGCTGACGACACAGCTTAATGCTGATTGGATGAGACTGACACATTACACTTTATTATCTTGTTTTACTAAGGTTTATACCTGGATTTGTTGAATACATTTTTTGTATTTTCGTTGATAATTAAAAAAAGTCATAAAGAGCATTACATATGGTTATTTATTTAGATTTACACGCAAACAACAACAAAACACATCTTTGTAAAACATAACGTGACCTATCCAATATAACTAAATGTTATTAATAAATCATTAGGATGTGTGTGTGCTGTATTCTATTTCTCTCTCAGTCTTAAGTCTTGTTTGTTGTCATTTTCACTTTTTGTATGTTTGTGTGAATTTTGTATTGTAATTTTTATGCAGCATTAAAGTCAATCCAATATATACATATATTCAGAAATACAAAGATAATCAGACTGTTTTGTCATTATGCCTCATCTTTGTTTGATTTCATATGAGAAGTGAAAAGGGTGTAGTAAACAAGACACACACACACACACATATATATATATGTATATGTATGTGAAGTCAAAAGTCATGTTTAATAGACCAAGAACATTTCCACAGTTTTTCCTGCAGTCTAATAGTTTTTATTCTGGAGAAAGTCTTGGGCTGTTTATTTCAGTCTGGCTGGAGTAAAAGCAGTTTATATAGACCTAATAAGCTTGTCAATATAATTAACCCCCTAAGAATTTATTTGTCAAACAATCATTTGTCATGACCTGTCACTCAAAAGCATCTCGCTATAGCTACTTCATGTATAATGTAGCCAAATTAGGTTTCTTGAAAGCTTTCTTGCTGTATAAGCTGTTTATTTTGTTATTCTTTTAACGTTTGTTGAATATACAGAATTATATTTTTAATACACCTTTTAGTTAATGAGCTGTTCATCTTCTGTAATTCTGACCATCTCTGTAAAAACAGTGATATTTCTATTGCATCCACTCCCATATTAAAAATACTATAGTAATGTATACTGTAGTGCTTTTAAACCATGTTATAAAATAGCCTATTTAAATTGTATAGTTCTGGTATCACAACAACTATAAACACAACCCAATACTGAATAAACATGTTCAAAAATGCTATAATATTTACTATAAATCACCATAGTATTTTTTCATGAGGTCATTCGTCTGCGATAAAAAACGCGAACGAGATCTCCGCCACTGGTGACGTTTCCAGGTGGCTAAACAGCGAGATTCAGCAGGTGTCTGACTTCTGATGTCATTTTTGAGCCCTCCTCTTACTGCGCACGCCTGCTCTCGTTTACAATGCAGTCAAGGCGAGGCGCACCTCAAACGAGCCTACTGTCTTGACTAGTGCGGTTGAATGACATTTGTCCTGGGAGCACTGTACCAATGTGGCGGCGCTATTGACGCATGCTCAGGGTCCCTATGCGACATCTAGTGTATATATCTATGGCAGAGCGCCAACAGCCACTAATATGAGCGGCCGTTTGTGACGTCATGATGCTTTTCTTTCGAACAGCCAATCAGATTGAAGTGTTTTAGGCGCACAGGAGTCACGGACGCGCTCGGGTTCATCTGCTCTGGGTCATCATGTAAAATGAGTCAAAGCAACAATAATAGTTTCAGCGCTTTCACCTGTTAGGCTCTTTCACGTGATGCCTGTTACTTTCCTCACCGTTGCTCAGCACGGATCAATCATAGTCGACTGTGATTACTGCGCGTCGTTTTGGGAATAAGTTTGCAGCGGTGTCCGAGCAGATCAGTGCGTTCACCGCGGGTCCGATCTGCACACGCGTGGACGACTGTACCATCTGGAGAGTGGATGTGCACAGAGACAGAAGGTGCCGTTTCTGGTCGGCTGAGCCTCGCGCATGCGCACTGACACACACGCGCGCACACTGTGGGTCAGCCATGTAAACACTGATCAGCTGAAGAACACACTCCGCTCCTCCACACTCCGCCATGGTGCAGTCCTGCTCGGCGTACGGCTGCAAGAACAGATACCAGAAGGACAGGAACATCTCCTTCCACAAGTGAGTGTGTGTGTGTGTGTGTGTGTGTGTGTGTGTGTGTGTGTGTGTGTGTGTGTGTGTGTGTGTGTGTGTGTGTGTGTGTGTGTGTAAGAAAGAGAGTGCGTTTGAGTGTGTGAGAGAGAGTGCGAGTGTTTGTGTTTGAGTGTGTTTTAGTGACCCGTCGGACAAATCTGTGTGTAATGTGGTGTGTGTGACCAAGATAACAGCAGAAGGTGTGTTATGAGGACATCACTGCTGCTCTGGAGTTCAGTCAGGCGGTGCTCAGTGTCCTGGGGCCGAGACACACTACAGTATAACACTATGGACACCTCTGGAGAGTCCCCACAACTGTGTGTGTGTGTGTGTGTGTGTGTGTGTGTGTGTGTCTGTGTGTGTGTATATATGTATATGTGTGTGTGTGTATATGTGTGTGTGTATGTATATGTGTGTGTTTTAGTGTATGTTTGTATGTATATATGTGTGTGCGTGTGTGTGTATGTATATGTATGTTTGAATGCATGTGTGTGTGTGTGTATATGTGTGTGTGTGTGTGTATATGTGTGTGTATGTATATATATATATATATATATGTGTGTGTGTGTGTGTATATATGTGTGTATATGTATATGTGTGTGTATGTATGTGTGTGTGTATGTATGTGTGTGTATGTTTGTATGTATATATATGTGTGTGTGTGTGTGTGTATGTTTGTATGCATGTATGTGTGTGTGTTTGTATGTATATATATATATATATATATATATGTATATATATGTATATATATATATATATATATATATGTGTGTGTGTGTGTGTGTGTGTGTGTGTGTTCAAAGCTGTTTATGTGTTTCAGAAGTGTGATTTTTCCACTGCTGCACTGATCTGAGCTCTCTCTCTCTCTCTCTCTCTCTCTCTCTCTCTCTCTCTCTCTCTCTCTCTCTCTCTCTCTCTCTCTCTCTCTCTCTCTCTCTCTCTCTCTCTCTCTCTCTCTCTCTCTCTCTCTCTCTCTCTCTCTCTCTCTCTGTGTGTGTGTTCCATGTTCCTGATCATGATGGTGTGTGTGTGTGTGCTCTGCAGGTTTCCGCTGGCACGGCCGGAGGTGTGTGTGCAGTGGGTCTCCGCCATGAGCAGGAGGAACTTCAAGCCCACCAAATACAGCAACATCTGCTCACAGCACTTCACCAGCGACTGCTTCAAGCAGGAGTGCAACAACCGCGTGCTGAAGGACAACGCCGTACCCTCACTGTTCACACTGCAGACACAGGTACACACACACACACACGATCAGATTCTGTGGGACGGTGTGGTGTTTAACGTCAGGCTGCTGTGTCCAGGGCCGGCGTGTCTATATAGGTGACCTAGGCAGCTGCCTAGGACGGCAGATCAGTCAGGGCAGCGTGCGCAGCGCGTCTTCCCCCTTCGCTGACATTCTGTAGTGCATTTAGTGATTGCCCAGCAGGCGCACTACACCATCAGACGCTAATATTAGGTTAGAGTTAGATTGTGATGCCAGGTGACCACAGATCAATGTCTAGCCAGCGTCTGAGGACGACGTTATTCTGATGTCCAATAATGACGGCAAATCATGTTGATATTTGGTTGATTTTAGGTTGTTAGAAAGTGAACAAAACCCAACTCTTAAACCAGCATCATGTTGACGACAGACACTGACATTTATTCATCAGGTGTGGCAACCAAAACCCAACGTCTGATTTACGTCATAGTGGTAACGTCCACACAACGCCAAGCTGTGACATCATCATCAGACGTTGATATTTGTTGATTTTAGGTTGGACGTTGAGTCCTGACATCAATACGATTTCCATTTCCAAACAAAGTGCAGCGTCAATCTGTGTGCCTGCTGGGTGTTGAAGATCAGTTCTGTCATCATACAGTAAACATCCATCATCTTCTCATCATCTAAACAGTCTCTGGGTCAGTGTGTGTAAAGGTTTTATACGTCGTCTTGGACACTTGTAATGCTTCCAGACAGTTTGCTGCAATGTAAAGTGCACAAGTGTTGAGGGAGTTCAGTATGGTGTGATTTACCTTCTGTGTGTGATATCACAGACTGATTTTCCTAATTCCTATTGACAGAAAATAATACAGCAGTGACCAGTGGTGTAAAGTAGCTAATTACAAATACTCCAGTTAGTGTAATCGAGTAGTTTTTCTCAGGAATTGGACTTTACTAAGTTATAAATGTGGACTTTTACTTTCCCTTGAGCAGATGTTTAGTGCAGTGTCTGTGCTGTTACTCCACTGCTGTCCTTCATCCTGCAGCACTACTGGATTATTTCTTGTCTATGGGGATTAGAGAAGTCAGTGCTGTGATTCCTGTCCAATCAGATCAAACACAGAGGGTAAATCACATCATACTGAACTCCCTCAACACATGTGCACTTTACATTGCAGCAAACTGTCTGGAAGCATTACAAGTGTCCAAGAAGACGTTCAGAATCTTCACACGCACTGACCCAGAGACTGTTTAGATCAGGGATGCCCAAACAGTCCTGGAGGGCCGGTGTCCTGCAGATTTCAGCTCCAACTTGCCTCAACACACCTGCACGCATGTTTCTAGAAAGCCTAGTGTGAGATTGATTAGTTAGCCCAGGGGCGGACACCGGCCCTCCAGCACCGAGTATGAGCACCCCTGGTTTAGATGCTGTCACTGATGAGAAGATGACGGATGTTTACTGTATGATGACGGAAATGGGCTCAAACACCCAGCAGGCACAAGACATCAACATGCCGTCAGATTGAAGTTGTTCCCTAACGTTGTGGAGACGCTGCATTTTGTTTGGAAATGAAAATCGGGTTTACATCAGAACTCAACATCAGCCCGATGTCAATGTCCAACATGCAACCTAAAACCAACCAACTATCAACGTCTAATGATGTTACAGCTTGGCGTTGTGTGGACGCTACCACTATGATGACGTCCATCAGATGTTGAATTTTGGTTGCCTTAACTGATGAATAAATGTCAGTATCTGACGTCAATATGAAGCTGGTTTAAGATATTTTGGTCACTTTTTAACAACCTAAAATCAACCAAATATCAACGTCATTTGACATCATTATTGGACATCAGAATAACGTTGTCTTTAGACGCTGGCTAGACATTGAATTATGGTCACCTGACATTACAACCTAAATCTAACCTAATATTAGCGTCTGATGACGTTGTGTGTCTGCTGGGCAATCACTAAGCGCACTACAGAATGTTACGTTTACACACACATCCACAAATGACATGTAAACGCATCAGCCTTATACAGCGTAATACTCACTACTCATGAGTACTTTTATAAGGGCTACTGTTTACTCCTACTTTGAGTAATATTTACAGCAGACACTTTTACTCTACTCACTACATTTTTAGGCAAGTAATGCTAGTTTTACTCAGGTGTGCGTTTTCAGTGCTCTTTCCACCACTGGTAGTGTCTGCAGGATGAAGGACAGCAGTGGAGTAACAGCACAGATACTGCACTAAACATGTGCTCAAGGGAAAGTAAAAGTCCACATTTATAACTTAGTAAAGTCCAATTCCTGAGATGAACTACTCCATTACAGTAATCTCAGTATTGTAGTTTGTTACTTTCCACCACTGCCTGATAGTTCTGCACTGTGTCCTGCTGGATTAGCCCGGTCTGCTTGAGGACGTCTGCTGTCATTAGAGGAGTTGGAGTGTTTCTGGCTGTGTCTCAATACGTGTTCTTCAGCGGTCTCGTGTTCTCCTGTAACGTCATCATCAGCTGCCAAAGTTCAGCTCCAATACCCAAGAGGATGTGTGACAGTTCCCGGATGTGATCCTGATATCGAGGACACACCGATGCAAACTTGAGCACCAAACTCGCTTTGGAAGTCCAAGAAGTCTCGCGACTGGAGGTGGGAAGCGCTGCATTTATCTAGATTTATTATTACAGTTCAGAGATATCACTTATTTACCTGAGGAGCTTCCCTAAATGTGAAAGTAAACATCACCATGACCATCATAATAAAGCAATACACACATTAAGAGTGCTTATTTGCTGAAATTCCTATTCAGATCAGTTTGATTTGTATTGTGCAGGGTATATTTGTAAGGCTTTATGCATGGTGTAGATACTGAAAAGGGGACAACAGTAAATCGCTGTATGAATGCTGCACTGTTTAGATCATGTGACCATCAGGAAGAACGCAGCATCTCATTTCTCACAGGACATGTTCTCACAACCTCCCGAATGGTTCTTCCGAGGTAACCTGGCAAGACCGGTGTCCACAAGAACACAAGTCTGCTCTCTGCGTTGCTGAAATTGAGGAACAGCCTCTGTCTTCTGTTTCTTCAGCTGATAGTGGATGTGCTGTTCTGCCCTCTAGTGTCCACTATGAGTCAAACACCTCCTACAGCACAGGTGCACACACTGTATTCTGTGGTAAAAAGAGTAGAACAGAAACCCTTTCCTCTACAGATGATGGATGCAGACGGACCATCATTAATATACATATCATACATTGTAGTGTAGGGGGCATCAATCTCATTCCTGGAGGTCCGGTGCCCTGCAGGGTTTAGCTCCAACTTGCCTCAACACACCTGCCTGGGTGTTTCAGGTATACCTAGTCAGAGCTTGAATAGCTTGTTCAGGTGTGTTTGATTTTGTTGGAGCTAAACTCTTCAGGACTCTGGCCCTCCAGGAACAAGTGTGGTGACCCCTGTTGTAGAGGATATGGTGAGGATGTACAGGGGTTGGACAGTGAAACTGAAGGCCTGCTGTTAGAGCGCAGTAGTGGATCAGTCTGGTGTATCTCCTCCTCCTCAGTCCAGCATCAGCTGTGTGAGCTGTTCTTCTTCAGAATAGTGTTCAGGTTACCACTGATGCTGCTGGAGGACAATCTTTCCTGACTCGCTCCTCCTAAACAGCCCAAAATGCTCAATAATGTTTAGATCTGGGTACTGTGCAGTAGAGGTCTGCATTTATGCAGCTGCATTGTGGAAGCCGCGAGACCCGATCAGATTTTTGGGGGTGCAGGAATAAATCTCGAAATAAATGTCAGGCTAGTCTGGTGTATGGGAGTCTTCTTCATGCGCCACAGATGCAGATGGAAAAGAATACCCTTTGCACGCTGTGATAACACCTTATCCTTATATAAGTGTTACCAGGGCTTGACATGAACTTGTTTGATCACCAGCCACTGTGGCTAGTAGATTTCCAACATTACTAGCCACTCGCCATTTTCACTAGCCACACTTTTCTTGATGGGAAAATATGTTTTATATGCATAAATCTGACTTTGACATGCTAAAATGACTTGATTTAGATCAGGGGTGTCAAACTCAGTTCCTGGAGGGCCGAAGCCCTGCACAGTTTAGTTCTTATCCTGCTCCAACACACTTACCTGTACGTTTCAAACAAGTCTGATGGACTCGATTAGTTTGATCAGGTGTGTTTAATTAGGGTTGGAACTAAACTGTGCAGAGCTGCGGCCCTCCAGGACCTGAGTTAGACACCTGTGATTTAGATGATGCCTTCTCATTCATTTCACTTCTTGTGTGTGTTGTGTATTAGCTTGCTCAGTGTGAATGAGCAAATGGGTTGTCACAATGCAATCAGTTTTTATTTCACACAACATTCCAGGGCTCACAATTAAGGATTTATCAACACACCAAATAAGTATTAGCTTTAATACTTATTAATTTAATAATATAGCTTTATAGGTTCACTTTTTAATTCAAAAAACTTTTCTTTAAAAAACATTACATTTTAAAAATAATTATTGTCATAAATCTAAAATATGCACAGTAATCTGTCCTTGCCAAAAGTCCCAGATCAGCAGTTAACTACACATACACAGGGGTAATCTCCTATTAAAGCAATGCTATTGTAAAATATATATATAATTAAACAATATTAACAAAAATAACAGTAAGAGAAAGAAAGCAGGTGAAACACACTGTTTGATAATGAAAGGATGATCACGTGCACATATGGGGAATTTGGGTCTTTTAATAATCAGTTCAATGATAACAGTGACCGCTGCTGCTTACAAAAGAATGTGTATTTTTTTATCTTGAGCTCTGGAAAGCAGCAGGACTGTCTGTGGGTCTGCGATCATCGCTCTTTGTCCAGTCTATTTCAAAGGAAACAGATCGCTCTAGTTGCGCTTCTTCTAGGCATGGTTGCTTTGCCTAAGTAAACGGGAGCGCACACGCTTTTTAACAGTCGCGCGCATCACATCACATTACCTATGCATGCGAGTGATCATCCTCTCGTTCGGTATTTACCTACTTTTTTGCTGTTTTGCTTGCGAGAACATAGTTATTTTTGTCAGTCGTGCTGCTTATTGATTCTAAGATCACATTTGCACGAATATTGGGCCATGCTTATTGTCGAACTCTGCTTTTAAGAAAACTACACTTTGTAGCAGATTTCCAACCAGCCGAAGTGGCTAGTGGAGGTGTCTGTCTAACCCGCCAGAGCTGAAATCTACCTGCATTTGGCGGGTTGGCGGGTGTTAATGTAAAGCCCTGAGTGTTACGCTTTAGCAGGACTGTACACAAGACTGTAAGCTCAGGTTTAGGGTGGCACTCATGTCTCATCACCAAGGGCCAAACAAAACTTTTAGCCTACAGACCCTGCACACACCCAACAGTGTACATTGCCACAACATTAGCGGACATTGTAAAAATGGCGGGGACAGCTGATCGAGATCCAGAAGTTTATGTTTATGTAATTATTAATCAGCTGTTTCTAAATGGTCTGTGCGGGGGACATATCCCCCCTGGTTGCTACGCCTCTGCTACAGTGTTATCTTTTCTCTCACTCTCTTGGTAGCACCCAAATTAAATGTGGGATTTTGGAAAGCTGGTCTAAATTTAGCGGGAATGGTTGGGTTGGGCAGAAAACTGGGCGAGGCGGGGTGGGCAGCGGGTAGTGGGTGAACAAAGGCTGAATATACAGCAGAGGCAGTCGGGTGTGGAATAAATCCTTGCAGGAGCGGGACTAAAATTCATTCCTGTTTTGTGTATCGGTGCATTATCCTGATACACGCCACTGCCATCAGGATACAGAGATCAACTCCTTTGGGACACATAGTCCTCCAGAATGGTTTGGTTGTCCTTGGCAGTGACCCAGCACCCATCTAGCACCAGTACTAGGGAACACCATGATATTGAGCCCAAATCATCAGTGATCCCCCCCCATGCTTAACTCTGGGCATCAGCAGTCTGGGTGGGACACTTCTTTGGAGCTTCTCCACACCGTAACTCTCCCGGATGTGGGGAAGACGGTGAAGGTGGACAAGCAGCCGGCCATATTGACCCTGTGGAGCTCCAGACCAACAGTTTTGGAAACAGGAGAGATGAGCGGCACATTTTGGATTAATCAGGGTTATCAGCCGGAGGACCTTTCAGACAGCTTCCCCTGGCGTCCAC